TTTCTGAAATGGATCTCATCATACTAGACAATCAAATTGAAAATTTTATTATTGATATGAGATCGAATGATGCATTCATAAATTTTAAAGGACTTGGAGAACTTTCTCAAAAATTAGTGGAGACTAGGAAGAATGATATATTTCCTTTGGTGTTCTTAGTTATAAAGCTTGCTCTAATATTGCCAATTGCTACAACAATAGTTGATCGAGCATTTTCTATAATGAAAATTATAAAAAATCATTTGCTCAATCGTATGCGAGACTCCTAGATAAATGACTGTTTACTTGCTTATATTGAAAAATATATTTTTAGTAGTATTGACAATAATTTGATTGTACAACGATTTCAAAAAATAAAGACTCGATGGGAGAAATTATAGATAACAGATAAGAAGAATATCAAGACTAGTGTTCTCAATTGTAAGTTTTTGCTTTACTATATATTTTATGTTTTTACAATGAATCTAATGCTTTTAATTTTTTTTTTTAAATCGCCTATGCTGGTCCCAAACCCGGATGAAAAAGGTTGAGGGTTTTTTTTTTTTTTAATATTTTGTGCCCCCACATGAACAAAATCCTGGCTCCACCCCTGCCTGCAGCTTAATAAAAATATTTTGTAATGGAAAAAACAAAAAAACAAAAAGATGCTTCTTATAATTTAAGCTAGATTTTGCTCAAAATTTCTCATCCAACTACTGATATTCTTTAGATAATCAAGATTAAGGCTTCATTTGGGAAGGCTTTTTTGTTGCCTTTAAAGTAACATTTTAGTACAAATTTTTTTAATTAAAAATTTTATACTAAAAATCATTTTAGAAAGCAATAAAAAAGTTAGTCCAAATGAAGCCTAAGATGGGCTTCCTTCTACATAAAGAAATGGAAGCCAGCTTACTTTGATGTGCTTACGATGTTTTCTTCGAAAATTACTTAATCTTTTATTATTTTTTAATAACATTCTTAATTAAAAGCATTCAAAGACTGAAACTCTTCAACGACAACCTCTGAAGACGTTTCAGACAAGAAGTTAAGCTATGAGTTCCATTAAACATAAATAATAGGATATACGTGAAGGCCTGATTTTAATTTCACTATTTCTGAAGACCCACACACTTCATGCAAATTTTTTTTTTTTAATTTTTTTTACTCATGCAAATGTGGATTTATAAGATTGGTTCAGTACTTAGGGGTGTCAATAAATGATCTGAATTGATAATTTGGCACAAATGGCTTAAAAAATTTGGGTTCAATTTGACTTGATTAATTTTTAGGTTAAGTTCGGGTTGATCCTAAAAAATAAAACTAACGCTAGTATCATTCACTCATTCAGTTTCATTTTAAACGGTGGTTTATTGATTTAACGGGTCATATTTTGGTTAAACAAGTCGTGATGATCTAAAAAGTGCATGATCTATATTACAAATGGATCAGATTCGGGTCAAATATCTGAACAATAGGATAAATAAGTCGGATTCGGGTTAAACGGGTTAGATAAACTTATCTACCAACCCAAGAAAACACTAACTGCCAAGGTGAGCACCTTAACTCAGCAAATCTCTATCAAAATTTTAGAAATCTTGTAACTCCTACTTAGGTCAAAAGAAACCTACAAGAAAGTTCCATAGAGTTGTACTTGCTCCAATGAACAAATCTCTTGTTGTTATATTGGCAGTTCAATTCATTCTATTTCTTTAGTATCAGTTCAATTCATTCTATTTCTTTTATCTTTCATTTAATAACTAGATTGATAAACATCAAGATCATTTTGACATTCATAGTTGATTAATTGCAATAAAGAAAATCAATAAATAACTCAAAAATATAATTCACATTATTATAATAGTTAATATTTATATTCTATTGGTAGAGTTCAAAATAATATATGCAATAGCTTTTATAGGCCATAAAAGAATATACATGAAAAAAAAAAACTAAAACTAAAACTAAAACATCACTACAACTAAGCTTAAATCCACATGCTCCTTACATTTACTTGAAATCATATAAAATCACGTAATGAGTGAATAGCTCAGCAAATAACTAAATCAAACAACTGAAATCAATTTAACGTAAAAGTGAAACAATATTTTTTAAATCATATAAGAAAATCTATAAATTAATATATATGCTATTTGTATCGATCATCTTTATAAATCAATTGTATTTATCATACAATTATTTTCATTTAGTCATATCATTCAATCATCTTTGTTAATCCATCAGTTATACATTAGTATCAATATATATATATAGTAATAATAAGAAGTAACCATAATTTGTATCTATATTCAGTAATCATTGATTAGTATTAGTACAATAATCAATATTCCATAAAGTATTCGGGTTAGGGTATCTTATATCTTGATCTTGCACTGATGAATTCCAATTAATCGCTCCTTATGACTCTCAATCAATGAACTCCTTATAACTTCTCTTGAATCACATGATAGTCGATGAATCCGTATGACTCTCAATCAATCTCTAACTCATTATGACTCTCATCTACTGACTCAATCCCATCAATGGACCACTTAGATCTTAAAGATATCACATGAGATTATCATATTATATCAATCAGTACATCATATACATACATCACATCAGAGTTAAACTAGCAGCAATATTATATTCTTGCATAACTCAATCATATCAATAAATTCAGTTAATATTACCTTGCAGTCTTATCATGTTAAATCACAGTACAACACTTTTCAACTCATTTCAAGCTTGTTTTTTTCCCAGCTCATTTTACCTAAAAATTTATATACACATATTTAATAAGTAAAAATTTAATAAAATCATATCAAATCGTTCAAAATGATCAAATCTATAACATATCAAAAGATATGCGATGAAAGCTTGCAAAATTAGAAGTTAATGCATTTTTTATAGATTTAGGAGAGAAACTAGTAGAAATCAAAATCATCGAAAATAGAAGTAAGAGGATAGTTAATCAGAGCATTTTTTACAACAATAGTGATGGACAAAAATGACTAAAAATTGACTTTCTATTTCCTTTTGCTCTCCTTTTTGTCTCTCTTCTCCCTTTCCTTGCCGAGCAAGTCGTGGCTGAAATGGGGGAGGTGGTGGCACAGCCGGCACTGGAATACTTAGACTTAAAATAAAAAATATATAAAAATATTGTTAGTGGCTTAGTGCTGGAACACTCATAAGTATAATGCCGAAGCACTCTAGTTCAATTAAAAATTCTAAAATTCATATTTTAAAATAATTTTTATTTTTGGGTTTTTACAAATTATGCTACTTATCATCCACCTAATAGTTATCAGCTTATTACCTAAGCAATAAACTAAGAGATGATTGCAAGGCGTTAAAGTAATCCCACAATTAAAAGTAAATTTATAAAAGAGGACGAGAGAGAAATGAGTAGATGCACATTAAGGAAGAAAGGATGAGCTTTCAGATGCTTATAGGAGGGAGAACTTCTACTTCAAGGAAAATAAGATGATGCAAGTTTTGCTTACATCAAAGGAGCTTTTGGTTAGACTCTTACAATAAAGAAGTGGAGTAGCATAAAAATATTTTCGCCGGTTATACGCGCGTCGATAAAGGACTTCCGGCGCAAAATAAGTCGCCGGAAACATTTCCGACGTTTTTCTGGCGGATTTTGCGCTGGAAAAAAATTTCCGGCAGATTTTTTATGCGTCGGAATGTCAAAAAAAAATTTTAAAAAAAAAATTCAGATTTGCCAAGCCCCCGCGTGGGGCAAATTATTGCATCAGGTCACCTGACAGAGAGATGCGTTCGGTCTCTCTCTGTCTACAGTAACCTGCGCTTTACTGTAGCACTGCTACAGTAAAGCGCAGGTTACTGTAGACAGAGAGAGACCGAACGCATCTCTCTGTCAGGTGACCTGATGCAATAATTTGCCCCACGCGGGGGCTTGGCAAATCTGAATTTTTTTTTTAAAATTTTTTTTTGACATTCCGACGCATAAAAAATCTGCCGGAAATTTTTTTCCAGCGCAAAATCCGCCAGAAAAACGTCGGAAATGTTTCCGGTGACTTATTTTGCGCCGGAAGTCCTTTATCGACGCGCGTATAACCGGCGAAAATATTTCCGCCGGAAATGCAATTTTCCGACGGATTTTTGGTCATTTTCCGTCGAAAACGGCCGCCGGAAAATGACGTTTTTCCCGTAGTGATATGACTTTGATTTTGTTTGGGACAAATTTAGACCGCTATTTTTTCTCTACTTTCAATTTTTTATTCTAAAAATCAGATTTACAAAACATTAAGAAAGCTATCCCAAACGAAGCCTATATCTATCTAGTTGTGTTTTCTCTTTGTTGCTAAAAATGACAAAGTGGCATTTATTTTATTATTTCTATAAAGCATAATCTCTTAACCACCTTTTTAATGTTTAGTGAGCTATTTGATATATATTTGTATAATCATTGATGAAGGTGGATATCATCAAACCAAGAAAATTTTCTTAGTGCTTGTGTTTGCATATTTGTTGTATTTAATCTCTCATCTTTGTGCATTTTGCTCATTAATTTTAACTCAATGCACACATGTTTACATGCATGGTTTAGTGAGATATGTCTATGTTCAAAATCACAGAGGTTAAATAGTTCCACTATGCTTTAACCATTGGACCTCAAAATCTTTTCATATGTTTGAAAACATAAAATTAATTACAAGAACCTGCAAGATTTTGTAAAACCTTTTTAAGTCAATAAAAGGTCTCATAGCTCACAAAAAAATTTTATCCATAGATTTTCAAATCTCGATTGAATAGTTACAATAAAAAGAACATTCCAATCATATTTTATGGGGATTTAATAGGAGAAAATTTTTACTTTATAATTTGGCTGTGTAATAACAATAATAAGCAAATATGCATGTATGAGGTTTTGTTTGGGACGGCTTTTTTACTGCTTCTTAAAGCAGTTTTCTAGTAAAAAAATTTAATTTTTTACTAAAAACCTTTTTTAAGAAGCAATAAAAACGTTGTCCCAAGTCAAATCTGAATCTCTCTTGAGAACTCATATTGATTGGAAGTTTCATGAAATGGATACATATTTTTGTTTATGGGTACAAGCTAGCTATAAATAGCAAATACTTTCATCGGACATGATATATTACATCACATATTATGTTTTCAAATTTTGCCTCTCTCACTCTCATCTCATCACCAATTCCACAAAACATAACTTCCTTTTCATTTTTTACAAATATATCAAAGCTTCATATAAACCAAGTACCAGCTCACTTCAGTCTCTCGCTAAAGAGCCCTTCAATGGATCCAATTGAAGCAAAAATGCTCACAAGCAAGCATACAACACTGAAGACTTGAAGCAAAATCCACTTTGATGTCCAAGGAGCTATATTTCTTTGAACACAATACATTTCTACTGGAAAATAGATGGCTAATGGCCAGAAGTTGAAGGCCCCAAGCAAAGCCAATACTTGATTGAAGTAAGGAAAAGCAATCGCAAGGGTTGTGGTTGATACAACATAAAGAGTTCTGAAGCAGATTCTGAATAGATTGATTTTGTAGGGTGGTAAGAACCAAAGCTGGATGGTGTAAAAGTCATTAACAAAACTGCTTGAAGGATATTTCTTGGCTAGCCATCTCTCAATGAATGCAAAGATTGGTTGGCAAAATACCTGGGAAGAGGAAAATAATCTCGCATTAAACCTGAAACAACAATTACTGTATGGGTTCATAACATACTACTAGTGACTCAAGTTTTAGCTTTATTTTTAGCAGAAAGAAATCTAATGGGCTAATTCTCTCTTGGCATATGACACTTAACCAAAGTTACCATAAAATGCCTACTCTTTCATTCAAGAAATAAGTTATTGAAATTAAAATTCTCGTTCATAAGTTGATTTAGGCTTCGTTTAGGACGGCTTTCTTTCTGCTTCTTAAACCAACTTTCTAGTATAAATATTTTTTAATTTTGTACTAAAAAACTGCTTTAAGAAACATAAAGAAAGCCGTCCCAAACGAAGCCTTAGTTATCTAGCAAGAATTCCAAGAGATTTTTCACTTAAATTACCTGATAGCCTCCCAGTAGGTGAAGTATGATACAAGCATTGGCAATGTCTATGAGCCAATAAGGTTCATAGAATCCAAATCCAGTCAAGAGGTTTCCCGGCGTGTCGTCGCCAAAGGCAGCATAGCCAAAGCATCCACAACAAAGGTAGAAGAAGGTTGTGATGCTGATGGATGCCATTGAAGCTTTTTTCATGGTTTTGTTTTCAGAAGGTGGAGATTTCAAAGTATCCTGCATTCATGTAAATTCCACCCCTTGGATATAAAGATGACAACTATAGAAGAAAACAATACATAATTGCATTATGAGTTTGTCAGAATTTTACCTGTATCTCTATAAGAATTACAGAATATGGATATGCAAATGCTATATCTCCAATAGCTTGGGAAATTCGCCACACTTTCTGAGCAGTGGATGGTGCAGGGATTCCTCCAATCCCACCTTTGATCATTCCATTGCCTGTGGTGGCACCAATGTAATATTTAGTTGAATCTATTATTGTAACAATATTATTATGATATAAGCAAATATCATGTGCTTGAAGATAATTTTTAAAATTATAATTAGTTCAGCAATGTTCTATGAATTTGAGTATTGACTATATTGAATATTAAAAGAAATCGCTTATAACTGTCCTGAGCAACCAAAAATGAGAATATTAATATAATATTTTATAACACTAACGAATGGTTTATCATTACTCATAAGCTTAAGCATTTAGGTCGAAAATGAGTTTGGAGATTTGTGTATAAGATTAAGGTTTTGTTTGGGACAATTCTCGTTATGCTTTCAAGTATTGAAATTTTTGTACTAGAAAGCTACTTTAGAAAGCAAGAAAAAAGCTGTCCCAAACAAAGCCTAACTCTGATTTCCATTTGGCCTACGCATCCTAAAAGTAGCATCTATTGATGATATAATATAATTATATAGCTTATCCAAAACTGAAAAAAAAGAAAAGAAAAGAGCAAGTAAGCAGTACCAATCACTTTAGCAAAGCCTAATCCAAATCCAATAAAAGAGTAACTAAAAGACATAATAGCAGCCACAACTGAGAGCCATTTCATGTTGTGGAAATCTGGAATCTGAGAGAGAAAAATTTGGACAATGCCAAACAACAACATGAATGAGCTATCTTCACTTGAGCATGGAGCATTGTGACCTTCTTTATGATAACAATTTGATCTATGTATAGCCCTGCAAAACAAATAACGTAGTTCCAATCAATCAATTTCACTTCCAACTTCATAATTTCTTTGTCAAAGTACCTTATACAAGTTGTAGTTGTAATAGCAAATGCAATAGAAGCTCCAAACAAGCTCAGATATTGCAAAAACCCACAGAACCAAGTATGCTTTTCGCCTGAGTTACCACAAAATTAACTAAGTTACTTGAGTTAAGTATACAAATTAGATAAAATAATACAATTCAAGAACAGAAGATTATTGATATTTGCTTAAATTACCTAAGGTCACTCTAACTGCATCCATGTAAAAATAGTTTCTGGTGCCATTAACAGGATGTGGAGATCGATAACAGTCAGAAAGTAAGAAGGAAGAGATGAAGGTCAATAGAGCGAAGCATAGCAGGGCCAAAGGCCCTGCAATCCATCCTAGTTGGGCAGTGCTCCAGGCCAAGGATAAAACACCAACACCAATGACTCCTGTTATGATATGAGCTATACATGTCCATACTGTTCCTGGTAGGATAGTTATAGTTTCACCCAAAGTCTTCAAAATCAAGTCATAAATAGATATATTTGAGTAGGGAGAGAAGGAAGATGAGAGAAGTAAGAAGAAGAAGCTTTCAAGTCCTAGAATTACCAGTTCTTAATTTTCCATCATCACTGCAAGAGGAATCAGATATCTCAGGAGAGTGCTGAGCTGCCATTCTCCCCACTATACATATAGAATTTATGCATGTGTATGCACATATAGAAAATGGATGATAAATTTAGAAGATTAAAGAGGATAAATGATTGAAAGGCAATTGCTCAGTCAACTTAAGATTTTGTTTGGGATAGTTTTTTTCCTGCTTTTGAAAGCAGATTTTTAGTAAAAAAAATCTAGTTGAATAAATTTTTTAGATAAACTAAAAAATTATTTTATAAAACAACAAGAAAATTATCCCAAATCTCAAATGAAATCTAAATAGGAGACTAGAATTTGCACCTGAAAATAAGAATGAATTTGAATCCAAGTAAAATTATGCTATTTGAAATATTTGGCCAATTAAAGAGATTCTGCTGCATTCTTTTATGCTGGCAGCAAACGAATAAATAGATAATTTAGGAAGAGATTGAAATACATAGGAGAGTTTGGAAGAATTAAAAAATTGAATTAATATAAGAATTATAAATAAAGTTGATCAATTTAGTTAAAATTTGGAAGGCGTGGCTTTGAATTTTTATTTGAAGTACGTGGTGTTACTTTTTGCTGTACATTTTGATTCAGTCATTGAATATTTTAAGAGGAAGTTAATGTCGCTTAGAGTTAGAAAAAGACAACTTTGTCACTTATTATTTAGAAAATTGATCCAATTCGGCAAGAAATAACATAACATAGGCAATTAATTTGAATATTGATTTTAAGATTTGATATGTCCTCAAAAATTCCTTTGATCGAGCACGAATCTCGAGGAAAATTCAAGTTGGAAACTTTCAAAATTAAATTCGGAATCATCTGAAATCCAATTTCAACAAACTTATTGTCAAATTGAATGTCTCAAAGAGACAAACCAAACAATACCAAAATTGGTCCGACCCAAGCCCAACTGGGTCTAAATCAGGGGCCCGAACCACATTTGGAAGGATCAAAATATTATTTGGATGAAAAAATGATATTCAAATATGAGATGCTTATAGTCAAATCCAGCGGTTCGGCAAGACAAATCTAACGAGCCCAAGATCTCTGAATTCCGACATCGTTAAGGCACTTAAACATATGAAAAACTCTCTACGATGGGAGGAATCAATACAAGCCATATGATGGAGCACTTCAAACCTCCCCCGGATCTTCTCTAAATTTATGGGGTGTGCCGCTCATGAAAATCTATAAATAGACCCACACTCTCTACATAAGGGGGGCCTTTGGCTGGAGATTGGAGAGAGCTTTGAAGTTTAAAGAGCTCTAGCACCACCGCCCGGCCACCGACCGCTACCAGACCAACGCATGGCCACCGACTGCCGCTGGACCTTCCCCCGACTGACGACAGCCGTCAGACTTCAGTCCAACCTTCATCGAACCACCGCCTGGTCGCCGAATGCCTCCAGACCTCCGCTCGGGCCGACGACCATTGTTAGACTTCAGCCTTACTTTCGTCGGACCACCGCCCGGCCGCCGACAGACGTCGGACCTTCGGCCGGCCGACGATCGCCTCCGGAGTTCTGCTCGACCTTCATCAGACCACCGCCCAGTCGCTGACCGCCGCAAGACCTTTGCCTGGACTACATCCGCTGCTGGACTTCAGCCTGACCTTCGTTAGACCACCACCCGGTAGCCGTCTGCCGCCGAACCTTCGTCGGATCGTTCCTTATCAGCTGAAATTCTACACAAAAGCTATCGGACTTCCGCCCGACCGTCTCTAGACCTTTGACTAGCTCTCCAAATTACTGTAATTTAACCACCTCTAAATCGAGGGACGGGTCAACCCTTGCAATTCACTCAAGTTTAGTGGAATCTTTTCACTTGGGTGATGCCCCGTGATTTTTCCCTCTTCAAGCTTTCCACGTAAAAAAGATCTGGTGTTTTACTTCGCTCTTTCTTTTGTGTGATGGATATCCATGCATCGCTAAGACAAAAAATTTACTCACTCTACCACCATGAATCTTCCAGCCCACAACAAGATTATTTGAATTTGATTTTAGGCAAAATTTACAAAGATGGACCCAATGTTGTCAATAATTAATATGTGGATCCAAATGTAATGAGTTTAAATATAATTAAAAAGTTCTCCAGGTTAATTAAGGCTCACATATTTTTGAAGTCTTATGTGCTTATAAATGAAATCATCTCGATGAGTAGAAATTATTTTGTGTTGAATTCAGAAGGGAAGAACCATCCAGATTGCATCGTATTTACTGAGTATTTGCTGAATATTTATAAATACTCAGTAAATATACAATAAATCAGCTAATACTCACCAAATACTTAGTAAATACTCACAAAATACTCAGTAATACTCATAAGTGAATATTTGCTGAGTTTTATTGAGTATTTGCAAATACGTAGCAAATACTCAATAAATATGCAATAAATCTTAACGGTTCTCCCTATCAGGAGTGCGTATGTAATAATTTTTCCTCGATGAGAAAGCTCAAATGAATCTACGATTGTTCAATTACAAGTTCATTAAGGCACAAATATATCAAAAATATAAAATAATTAAAAGTATGGGATAAACGAAGCATGGATTCTTATATAATTCAGTTTTTTTTTTTTTGCTCATTTGTACATCCATTATTGCTTGATGCCCAATTGTCATGTCGACATTCACGAGACACATTCCAATGATTAATATTTGTTGTCACTCTACCACTGACTTCTAGCTTTCATATTTCATGTTTTCATGTTCCCTCTTTCATGAAGCGAAGGATGTCATTGATCACATACTATTGAACAACATCCTAAAATCTTATTGTTTTACACCTTCCAATGATCAACATCAAAATGCATCGACCACTAAAGTTTGACGCTAACATTCTTGTTCACATGATCTCCCATCTTATTAAGATAATAATCAAGTCAATTGCATACCATTGTTCAACTTCTAACATTCCTTGCTATCACCTAAAGCATACTAACAATTGCCTCCAACATGCTTCTTTCAGATCATTCAATCTATTCTCATATCAGGATAATATTTGGCATCTAACATTCACTAACTACTAACATTTGACGCACATTGTTAGCCACACTGCCTCTCCTCTTACAAGGATAATTACCAAGCTGATTGTCTGATAGCCAGCTTCTAATGTTTGCCAACCTACAATGTATGACGCATGCCCTCTTAATCACTTTCTCACTATCAACCATCTTGTGTTACTTCAGACATTCCCTATTAGTCCTCAATTGATTATTACCTATGGCTAACATCCAATGTCAGTCTACCACATATATCATATATAAATCCTCTTAATCTCTAGTTTTCTCTCCTATTACAAGAATGACTTAGCTATGTTGATTGCTCAATATCGCCCGACTTTCAACGTTCCTAGTGCCTTGTTCCGATGATGACAACTCAAACATCTGAAGATTCAATTTACTATCACCACAAGAGATTTTTCGTATGATTTGAGCTTGTTACATTACATTGATGCCTTATCAAATTATTGCGAATGCCCCCTTCGTAATCTTTGACTTAACTAATGAAATCATTTAACTTGCATTAGACTCGATAAGTTTTTTCACTTTTGAATTTTTCACGTTATAAAAAATCTCGTATCTCCAATGAACTGCTCTAGATGTATTTATATGCGTGCAAGGTCTTCTTGCAATTCTAAAATTATTTATTTTCGCAAATTTCTCAATGCACAATAATGAACAAACCATTTTTTTTTCTAGGATAACTCTCATTAAATTCACTTTAAGATATATATTTTTTTTTAATTGCAGGATAATTATTTCTATTTCTAAGAGGCTATTTTTTATCTTATTGTAATGAATTGGTAAAGATTTTAGTTAGATTTCTTTATACTTCCTTTAGCTTTTTTTATATAGTTTGTATTGTCATTGATGTGCTATTTTGTGTAGTGCCGGTAGGCATTGTTGCCTACAAATAAGAACAATAGGATTTGTTGTTGTTCAAGGGGCTGCATAAGAGCCCAACTACAAAAAGTACAACAACAAATCTTGGACCAATCACAACAAAGTTCACCTTGGTTCAGATTTACAAATTAAACATTTAAGTCACTCCATCTGACGTCTCAGCTATGTTGGTGTTGTCTTTGGGTCTACGTACCTCCTTTCCGCTTCAACAAATCTAGGCTATATCTCTTGAAATGCCCTTCTTTATGGCAGTAGAAACATTTATTGTACTCATGTCTTCCTCTTGCTATCAGGATGTCTCCAACCCATTCTTTTTTATCCTCATTTTTACATTGAAGTTGTTTGGACACCAAAACCGACTTTACGTCGGTCATGGTCAATGTCTGCTTTCCATATAGTAATGTACAAACTATATTCTCGTATGACTTTGGCAAAGAACTTAGAAGAATGATACCCTGATCTTCCTCCTTAATATTAGCATCTACATGTTTAAGATCAAGGATAAATTTGTTAAATTCATTTAAATTCATCAATGTGCTTCTTCAAGTCTTTACCTTCATTCATTTGCAACGTGTATATATAGAGCTTTCTTTAGATACAACTGGTTGGCCAACGATCTCTTCAAGTACAATGACTCTAGTTTCTCTCATACTTCTATAGCAGAATCCTCTTCAGCTACTTCTCTCAATACTTCATTACCGAGCGATAAAAGAATCGCACTATGAGCCTTCAATTATCGATTCTCCATAAGCCGAAATCATTTTCTCTGATAAATTTGTCGATTTCAAAATTTTGCATCGACGTGATCAAGAACTGTATTATTTTGTGTTTTATATTGTATATAAAGTGTAATTTTATATTGTATATTTTTCTTGATTTTTATTTTGTGCAACTCATTAAAAATATCTTGTAATTAAAAAAAAGCTGATGGAAGCCAATTCACGTTGATGTGCTTATAAATGTTTTCTTCGAGAGTTGCTTAATCTTTTATTTTTTTTTTCTTAATAACATTCTTAATTAAAACATTCATATACTGAAACTCCTTCAACGGCGACCTTCGAAGGCGTTTTCCGGAAATAAGTTAAGATTCGTGCTCTCATTAAAATATAAATAATAGGGTAATTGATAAACGTGAAGGCCTGATTTTAATTTCTTTATTTCAGTACATGATATAAGTCAAATATAATTGGGCGTATCACCAAATTTTAAATTAGGTAAATATTAAGGTTTGATGACTTTAGCAAAGGTTTTATGGCTGGTCCATAGTGAGTTAATTTTCTTTATTTTGATTAATCTAATTAATTATTATTGTATGCTAACATAATTTTTATAATAATAGAGAAAATTTTATAATTTTGGTATTGCATGGAAGTTTCTTGCATATATATATATATATATTTGTGAAAAGTCAAGTAGGGAAACATTAATTGACTAAATAAGTAAAAAATAGTTTCATTACATAAGTTGAAAATTATAATGATTTAGATTTTACTTGGGATAATTTTCTTCATGTTTTACTTTTTAGATTACAACCGTAATTTTTATTTGGTCAGTGCTAAAATGACAATAGATCTCTTCTCCGTAGATGAAAAAGATAGGATTTCAAGGTTTGAATTGTAAAATATATTGATGGCAATACTTAATGGTAGACGGTAGAGAGTATTAGAAGACAGAAGAATTGGCAAATAAATGGTTGATGACGACGAGCATTGATGCCACTTAACATCAATGGAGAGACACAACACAGTTTGGTCTGTTGGTTGGGAGCTTAGGCTATCAATTAAGAGGTCTTGGATTAGAGTCTTGTATATGCGATACGTGTGTGAATCTACCTTAATGAACCTAAATGTCCAAAAAAAAAAAAAACCAGTGGAGAGCGCATGCAAGTGTCATATGTTAGCAATGATGGGCATCTGTATATATTAATGACATGAGCATTGATTAAAGACATGCAATTACGGATTAACGAGCATCAACATTGATGGTTGGGTCATGGGTGTTAAGGTTGATAACAACGATGATTACATGCCTGAGGATGCATGATTATTTTTTAATTTTTATTT